ATCACTTTGATGGTTCTGCTTACATTATAACACTCATTGCCACTAGTTTTATCCTCACTCTTGCCCACTATATTTTTTCCTGTCTAGCCTATTTGTGCTGAATGCTTTGAAGGATCTGCTCCAGTTATGTCAACTTACATGGATTGTAAAAGAAGCCAATTGTACAAACCCCTTGTTGCGTATACCTTGATTTTGTTTCCAGTGAGAAAACTCCCACGAGATTGAATTAGATCAGGATCAAGTCCCAAATCAGTAAACCATGGGACATTAAGGAAACAGTTCCTTCTAAAGCAGTCTCTCAAATGGGGTAGGCATACTCCTGTGGGCACGCCACAGGATTCTTGAGGGTAAGCAAGAGGAAGGAATGGGAAAGCAAAAGAAGGGAAAGGGAAGAAAAACAAAGCTGAGGAACTCTACAATATCTCTTAGGCTGTTGGAGAGATTTCAGTGTGGTTGTTATGACATAAAAATAATACTTTATTATGATGTGTAACACAGAATCATAGGCATACATAGCACAGCAGTATACCAAATTGTAAAAGGGATACATGAGCCAAGAAAGTTTGAGAGCCACTGCTTGAGAGACCTGCTTTGATTGGATACTTCCCTGCTACTATCAAAGCCTTTGGGATTTTTCAGGAGATTTAGTTCTCCAGTAATAAAAAAATGTTACTTATAATTAACATTCATAAGCTTTGGAATTTTTTCCCTGAAAATGCCAGGCTGTCCCTAGAGGAAAGATTCTGGAGCTTTGTAACTTTTCTCCAATTATCAGCTCCCAGGGGCCCAGGAGCCAGATGTAAATCCCAGGGAAATCAGCCAGAACATTTCCATTGACTTCAACAAGCTTTTAATTCAGACTCTTTGATCCATAAACATTTTGCTGAAACAAGATTCATCAGATATATTAAACAGCATCAAATCCAGATTCCTTGTATTCAGCTAGTGATAAGCCCTTCCCATCTTGGATGAAACTTTAAGCATTTCTGATTTCAGGGCTGTTGATAATAGTCCTAATAAAGTCAGTAAGACTTTTCATATAAGTATGGTGAACAGGATTTTTCCATTCCTTCTGAAATAATTTTTCTCTAAAATATGGCAATATAACAATAGATAAAAGTTTTTTATCCGTCAAGAACATGTTTTATTTATAAGATTCTTACTATAGGGTCTCATTAATTATATATATTCTATAATTAATTTTCTGAGCAATTGTAGGATTATTTCATGTGTCTACTCATTCTAGCATATTAAAAGAACATGCGTCTTTTCAAAATGGTTTTTCAGGGCACACTTCTCTTAGCTTTGCTGGGAATAGTTACATCAAATACCGAGTTTCTGAAAATAGCAAGAAAGAGGAATTCAAGTTGGCTCTCCGTCTGCGAACTCTGCAAAGCAACGGGATTATAATGTACACCAGAGCAAATCCCTGTATAATTCTGAAGGTAATTAAAATAACTTATCTTTCCCACAATCATTTTTCTTGATTATATGTTTTTCATTGGGTCTTGGTTTGGGGACTGTAGTCTCATTTCAGCTGTGTAGTCCTATGATGAGGACTGATGGGTTTTAGGATAACAGGGAAAAACAGTAATTTTCGACAACAGCAACAAAAGGCAGCTTGACTGCCTCATTAGTTGCATTTAATTTTGAATATGCTTGCTTGGGTGCGATATATCATAAAAGTATTGTGAGTGTCTCAATGCAAGAGCTGATCTACTTCGAGATGTGAGATCTGACCATATGATTACATATTCTAAACCACACTTGCTGAAATGGCTTTCCTTGTGTCCATGTCTGTGATTGGAGAATATGTCTTTGCTACTGCACAACACTGTTCATTTCAATAAAAAAGTGTTACTAAAGCTTTACCTGCTAAGTAGGAAGGTTTCTTTAACTGAAATGTTCTTCTGGAGGGCTATAAGGCAAGTGCAGAGCCATATTATAATGAATGAAGTCTCCAGTCCTTTTCACTCTTTGCTGAACTGCTGAGAATGTGCTTGTATGGAGTAGCCAATTTTTTTTTTTTGCAGAGCTGGTTAAAAGGGGAGGATGTATATATTTGCTGTTTTATATTTTTTAAACTAAATTCAGGTAAAATTAAAACTGTGACACTGTGCAGCAATGTGTTCTACACAAACAAGTAGTTTGTGAGTGAGAGCTTTGCGCCTGTCATTAAAGGGGAATCTCAGCATAACTCTGATTGAAATGAAGCATTATTGAGCCCTAAACGTTATGAGATATACACAAGCTATTGCTTGAGCTTTCAAACATCTTTTGTACAGCAAAAATGAAGTCTTGGAAACCTGGTTTGAATTCTGCATTAGGGTTGCTTGTAGCATCTGTGTGTATTCAGTGCTATAGTGTAATATTCGAAAAGTACTCAGAAGAAGTAAATGGCCTAGGTTAGAGGTGCCTCTTGAAAACAGTTGGAGATGACCCAGAGATAGTCTGAAGTGGTACAATGTTGCTGATGATGGTGATAAGGGAGTTTGAGTTATTACAGTTCATTGTGTAACAGTACCATGATAAATGAATCCTGGCATCTTTTCAGGCTTTCATTCATCTTGTAGTAGAAACATATTCTACCCTATCAACATTCTTCAGAAAATTACAGACATTATACTATGAGTATACTATCTGTTTTAGCTGTCTTCCTACTTTAATGTGATGGATTGCTTTTCACAAAAGGCCAAGATTTTAGGTAAAAGTATGGCAGTAAATAAAATCTTTGGAGATATTTAAAAGAAATAAAGCGTTATTTATTGATTGATTTTAAACTATAAAGGGCATCTAAAATTGAAGTCATGATCACTTGTGGTCATTGGAAAAAATTGCTTGGCACTAAACCTATAGTCTGGAAAAGAAATTCAAATTAAATTTGAATTACTTAACTGCATACTATTTTGGACTGGATTCTTAATTTTTTGGGGGGTGGTGAATGTGTGCACACACATTTTAAAGTGTTGCATAGTGATACTGGATTAATATAGCAGCTGCTATGCTTCCCTCCAGAGGTGGAATGATCCGCGGTGTAGTAGTATATATTCTAAAATAAACTCACATGAAGAACTCCATCAAGAAAACTTTGTTCAGTTTCTAAAATCAGGCATTGGAAAATTGGGAAATGATCAGTTTAAAGTACTACATGCAAATTTAATCTGAACATTGGCCTGGAAGGCCCTTCTGGGGGGATCTTCACCTGACCCTGCAAACAACTATGTCATAGAATCTCTGTCATGAACTTTGCATGTGGGTAGGATGCCACCGTCTTAATTACCCGCGCACATACTGTTTTTCTCCCACAGATCATTGATCTTGTTCAGTTCAGTATTCATAGAAGGGGTAGTAATGACTGAATAAGATGTTGTTCATTACTTTGTTTTCTTTGCCTTGTTCAATGTATATCTCCAACCTGTTGAAACCCTGTTTTGGAGATGGAATTAATGATTTCCTTAAGAGCTGTTCTCCAGCAATGGTCACTATGATACTGAAGTGCTTCATAAAGATTAGTTCATTTATTTTAGAACAAGCATGTGAAGTGAGTCATGGCATTATTCCCATTTTACAGGTAGGGAACTGACACACAGTGATTGAAGTACAAAAATTCCACTGATTTGGGGTACCCAATGCAAGACATATAGGTCCTAATCTTTCATATCTTTGTGATATTTCAGAATATTTAGCATTACACAGCATCTCAGATGTTGAAAGCATAACTCTAATTCACTTCAGCCACCACTATGAGTGCTCAAGTATAGACCACAGTTCTCTTTGGCAGTGTTCAACTCACTTAACCAAGAAATCCTCTTCATCTTCCTGCTATCTCTGCCCCACTCACGACAGATCTTTCTACTTCTAAAACAAAATAGCAGGTTGTACAAGTTGCCTCTCCTTTACTGAGCCCCCGTCTCCCTGCCCAGGTGATTACAGATGTCCTCCTTCCTATGTCAAATTCTGTCCAGTAAGTTCAGTTTCCTTAACCAGGAATCCCAGTTCCCCCCTCTCATATCAACTCCTAGTCTCCAGTCTCATTAATTAGCTAATATAATTAACTCCCTTATGGCTCCTCATCTAATCTGCTTTCCTTCCCAAGGCCCAACCCTGTCTCCTAGTCCAGTCAGCCAGTTTCATTTTCCATATCATGCCCCAGCCTCAACAGTACCCTACTCCTAGGGCACATCTACACATGTCACTATGACAGTGTTGTTACTGCTCTGTGAATTAGTACTTCCTTTTGAATGTACTAAATCATGGTGCAGTAACAGCCTGTACTGTGCCATATGTGTGGTGTATGGTTATTTGTAGCAGCTACTTAGCCGTAGCAGCATGCTATACCAGAGGAACACATCACTATAGTGAAGTAGTTGCTGGTCACATGTAGATTCCTGTGGATGCTATGTTCCCATAGCACATTGCTACAGTGACGTAGGATCATGTGTAGACGTACCCCCAGCCTGCTCTTTTCCTGCCCCTTGCCCAATTTTTGTCCTATACATCTAAATCTGTTGGATACTCCTTCATGTTCCCTAGATGCCGTCAGTGAGACAGGCCTCTTACTCTAAGTTTCAGTGCCTGGCCAAGTAGCTGGCTTGAAGCATTTGAGAGCAACCATTCTAGAAGTCCAGTTTTACCCTTGTAGTCCTGGACTTGCAGCATACTCTTCGTACACTTACATATGCAGTCTGATTAGCACTTGAATCTGCGTGAGTCTTCAGTATGTTCATGAAGTGAGGGTGATATTGCTGGGATTTCTGCTCCTGAAATTAAAGAAATCTCTATTTAACATCCGTAAAGTGTAGTTTGTCATCAGTTTAATACTTGATCAAATGCGTGTGGAGTTCTAGGGGAATGGCAAAAAAAAACCCTACCACTGACAGAGATCACCACTTGCCAAGTGTAAACTCTTTCATCAAAAGCACGCAGGTTCTAGAAAATTTCAAAGAAAAGATTATCAGAATATTTTAACCTGGGCAAAACAATGTGCTACTTTTGAGGAAATAATTGAACCATTGTGTTTAAGAAGAGGCTGCAAAAGCAGTGTCCAGGGATAGTCTAGGAGTAGCTATGCCTATGCTCTACTATGGATATTTTCCATGATTCTGGGCTTTACTACTTACCTTCTGGAACCAGGAAGGAATTATTTTTCCCCTCCTGTTATTATCTGTGTTAGGAAGAGGGGGTTCACCTTTCTCAGAAGCAGTGGGGTTTTGCTGCAGCCAAGCCTGGGGATTTTGACTGCGGTATCCGTACCTACCCCTAGCAGGACTTAAGCCTGAATGTTTCTGGATAGCGGGTTGCGCCCCTCTGCTCAGGGTCAGACTGATCACCATATTTGGGGTCAGGAAAGGATTTTACCCCATGGTCAGATTGGTACAGGCTGGGGGTTGGGGACATGGCCGTCCACCTGTGACCTTCTTCTGGGATCTCTTGAGCTCATATTAACAACCTTTACATCAACAGGATATTGCCTAGTGTGGTCCCCCTGCTTTACCTGTGGCAGCTTAAGGTGTTATGTCTTGTGATTGTGTCAGGTTGACTGTGTAATTTTGCAAATAGGTTGGACAGTAGATTTGTGTAGGATAGTTTGGATAGGGATAATCCTCCCTCTGGCAGAGGGGTTGGATTAGATGACCTCTGGAGGTTCTTTCCAGCCCTACTTTTCTAAGATTTTTGCTGAAACTCTTCAAAAAAAAATCTGCCTTAGAGCAGAAATGCCCCAGAAATCTCCATCCTTAAAATGGAAGTTTGGCAAAATTATAAGCAGTTGAAAACAAAATCTTATGAGAAGTGTCAGGTAAGAGGAGATGCTGCCAACCCAACTTATATGTGCAATAATTGATGGAGATTCCCACATTCATTTGGCATCTATCAACCTTGATAAACACATTTATTTCCCGTTACCAATAGTAGCTCAAATATGGAGATAGGCACTTTAGAGAATTGTAACAGATGGAGAAATACGGTCCAGGAATTCATCTGCTATCTGAAGACTCATGGGCTCAATTCTTTGTTCTTTTCTAGACTTTCTACATAATTGTGAGCAATATACTTTGTGATAACATTTTCCAAAGTACCTTGAGTCCTTTAGAAACTTAAATACCTAAGTCACTTTTGAAAAAGTCCTCATCTCCTATGTCCTTTTGATGTTTTCTAAAATTTTATCTTTAGTTTTTGCAAACTTTGATTTCCTTATCAGGGATAATAAGTACTTGGTTTCTTTTCCCCCTCCAACCTCTCCCTCAGGGTGATCTGAAGATAAACACATTAAAGGACTGTGAAACAGTCAGGTATTCAGGAAAACTAGGCCATGTGAACAGTTTAGATCAGGGGTTGGCAACCTACAGCCCATGGGCAGGATGTGACCTGTAAGTAGAGTGAATCTGGCCTGTGGCAGCTCATGTAATTGGCAGCATGCTTCAGCCACAGCAGCTGAGGTGGTATC